ATCCAAGGGGCATTGCACGGGAAAACAACAAACACAAGGAAATGAAAAGACAAAGGGAAGGAGAAGAGGTTCTAGTGCAGAAATTAAAGAGACACAAGAAGAAACCAAAGGGAGAATGAATCTAGATTTGGCAATAAACACACAAATTATGAGCTGGATTAAGTAGTGGGAAAGCATTTATGAGCTGAAACATAAGAAGAGGCTCATTAATGAGCTGACTCAAGTAGAACTTACAAAAATTTCAACTCAACTTAATTTGACTCACCCCTTGCCTACATCAAACGAGAAGACAGGTAAAGATTAAGTAGAAAGAAAAAAATGGACAACGAGAGCGTGCCATTTAAGGGATGTTTGGTTGGTTAAAAAAGGAGTGTAGAGTAAAAGGAATCCTTTGAAGTTCTTTGGATGAATCTAAAGTAAATACATGTGATTTTTTTTTTAGAAGTAATAAATTAGTGTTTAGGACTTTAAGATAAAGGGGCAAAAAAAAATTATGTACCCAACATCGATTATTAGTTTTGGACTTTAAGATAAAAGGGCAAAAAATAAAAAATAAAGTAAAATGATATTCTAGGATTAGATGGTGGCATTTAAAAAATATTAACAGAAATAATTTTGAGAATAAGATTTTAGATCTTAAAATTTTATCTGTGCATGAGGATGCTAATGTTATGTGCGAAAAAATTGCTATTGATATTAAGAATATTGCAAAAGATGTGCTTTGAGTATCAAAGGGAAAAACTCCTAATAGTAAAAATAGTTGGTGGTGGAATCCAAATGTGCAAGAACAAATTAAAAATAAGAAGATTTATTATAAAAATTGGTTTAATTTAAAAAATTCTGATAATTAGGAAAGTTATAAAGAGGCTCGTAAGGAATCTAAGAAAGTAATATGCAATGTAAAGACCTTAGCTTTTAGTGATTTACATAATATATTAGAAAGTAAGGAGGGAAAAAGATATATGTATAAGTTAGCCAAACAAAGAGATAGAAGTAGTAAGGATTTAGTTCAAGTGAAGTGTATTAAGGATGAAGATCAAAAAATATTTTTCTTAGAAGATGATATTCAACAAATATAGATAAGATATTTTGCTAAACTTTTTAATGAAGATTGTGAAAATAAGATTAACTATATTGACCTTAGCATCCAAAATGAAAATAAAGATTTCTATTTTTATCGGCATATTAGTAAAACTAAAGTTAGAGAGGCTTTAAAGAAAATGAAAGGTGGAAAAGATGTTGGACCTGATGATATTCTAATAGAGGTATGAAAATGCTTAGGAGATGAAGGAATTTCATGGACTACAGATGTAAGCACAGTAGATGGAAAATCCAAACAAGGAGACAAAAGTGCGAAACTAAACCAAACTCGATTCAAATAGTAGCAATCATCTATAACATCCAAAATCCGACGAAGAAAGCTAGAAGAGAATTCAAAGAAATAAAGAAAATAAAAACAACGCTATCCTAAGACACCCGTCAGAGCGAGTTCCACACATGCATCGAAATGTAGGTTAAGTAAAATAAGTGTTTAGGGCTAGCAAACCGATGGTCCACCACTGCGATATCGTCCAATTGTCCAATCCAAACTCGTCCAGCAAATGCTCCCAAATCAGCCAACAAACATCACCAAAGCTCAAGAAGAAGGATACAGATGGAGTGGAACTTGCGGAGAGACGAAAGAGGTTAGAAGCCGAGAAGAGGGTGGAAAGTACTCACAAGTCTTTCCTAGAGGAGATGAGAATGAGAATGGAACAAGCTCGCAAGCTTTTCCAAGAACCCGCAGGTTTATAGCAAATTTGCTCTCAATAATCAACTATAAGATCATATGATAAAGTTCCAAGAGAAGTGCTATGGAGAGTTCTTGAAAAGAAAGGAGTCAATAATGCTTATATTCAAATCATTAAAGATATGTATGCAGGAGCTATTACTTGTGTTCAAACACAAGGTGGTTTGACCAAGTATTTCCCTATTTCGGTTGGGTTACATCAAGGATCAACCTTAAGCCCATATCAATTTGCTTTAGTCATGGATGTTCTCACTAGACATTTGCAAGAGGATGTACCTTGTTGTATGCTTTTTGTTGATGATATTCTTCTTGTTGATAAGATTAAAGAGGGAGTTGAAGGTAAACTTGAATTATGGAGGTCAACCTTAGAGTCTAAAGGTTTTTGCTCAAGTAGATCTAAAACAGAATATATAGAGTTTAATTTTAATAGTAATAAATCTAGTAAGGGGATTGTGACTTTAGGCGATCAAGTCATTAATAAGAGTATACGTTTTAGATATCTTGGATCTATTGTTCAGAGTGATGGTGAAATAGATGGGGATATTATCACCAGAATTAAAGTTGGATGGTTGAAGTGGAGGAATGCATTGGGTTTGTTGTGTGATAGAAAAGTAACCCTCAAATTTAAGGAAAAATTCTATAAGATGGTGGTTAGGCCTGCAATGCTTTATGGTGCCGAATGTTGCCCATTAAAAGAGAAGCATAATACTAAGTTAAGTGTGGCAGAGATGAGGATGCTCAGGTGGATGAGTGGCTTTACCCTTAGAGATAGGATACGAAATGAGCATATACGTGAAAAGGTTTGAGTAGCTCCAGTAGAAGATAAGATTAGAGAGAATCGCCTTAGATGGTTTGGTCACACAAAACGATGGCCTTTCAACAACCAGATTAGGAGAGTAGAGGTATTATATTTGACTTATGTTAAGAAAGGTAGAGGCAAACCTAAAAAGACTTGGTTAGAAAGTATTAGGAATGACCTTTCTTTATTAGATTTAAACGAGAATTTGACTTTTAATAGGACACAATGGAGAAAAAGGATTCATGTAGCTACCCCAAATAGTAGGATAAAGGCTTGATGTTGTTGGTTAAAAGTAATAAATATAGTGTAAGTTCAAAGATGATGGCAGACAACAGGTGATGGCAGTCTTCGTCGGGTGGCAACGGTGGCAGGGTGGTGGCATCCGGCGGCGAGGTGGCAGCGGCCAGCCACAGGGTGGAGGCAATGACTAGCAGCGGTAATGGCCGGCAGCAGGTGGTGGAGGCTGCAAGTGGCAATGGCAATCGGCGGTGGAGGCGGTGGACAGCGAAGGCGATGGCCAGTAAAGGCGGTGGGCAACAATCAAGCGAGCTTGCTTATGGTGTTAACAGTTCTCGCTCAAAACTGGGCGAGTTTGGTTTAATTCAAAAATGAACTGAGGGACTATTTGGTTGCCTGAAGAAGGAATGCAATGTTAAACGAATACTTTGAAGTTATTTCGATGATTGTGAGATTTTTTTTATTTGGTTTGCAATAAAATGAATGGAATGTAAAATGCAAAAATGTAGCAGTTAGTGGCCAACAGTGACAGCGGTGTGGCTAGTGGCAGATGGCCGGCTGCGATGGTGTCGGGCGGTGTGGCCAACGGCATTAGCGGTGGTGACTGACAACAGTGGGTGGGGTGGCCAGCAGTGGCGACGGGAGCAATGGCGGATGACATTGATGGCCAACAGTAGTGGCCGGCAGTGGTCGGAGACTAGCGCGTGGCGGAGACAAGCGAAGGCAATTGGAATGAATTTTTTATATATTATGAACTCGTCCAAATCAAAGGAATTCCAAATACACCAAAAATAAACTAGATTGTGTATTCCAAATGCAGTAAAATTTTACACTACATTTATTTTATTTCAAACCAAACGTCAATATTTTCAAAACATATGTATTTGAAATACTTTACTCTCCTAATATGGACAACCAAACAGCCCCTAAAATGATTTACACTACATTTACTTTATTTTTGCATTTCTTTTTCATCCAACCAAACACCAATATTCTAAAAACCCCTGCATTTGTAATACTTTAAAACACTTTGTATTTTAATTAAACAACCCCTTTAAGAGAACAGGCCTACACTGGTATAAAGAGAAAATGAGGGTCTAAGGTTGTTTATGAGAGGGGAAGACTCTTTTGACCAACTATGGGAATAGAGAAAGAGAGGATGCGAAGAGGAGATTATCTTGAGTTAATTCAAGCTGAATGAAAGAATTAAACCATTATTAGCTAATATTTATAAACTTCATTCAAATTATATAAAAAAAAAAAAGCATAAAGCCTACTTTTAACCTTTGATTAAAGCAACTGCTTTTTAAAAATTTTTAAAAAGAAAAGTACAGCTCAAATCAAGGCTCCTTGAAAAGAGGATAACTACCCTTTCTAATGTCCTTGGCCAACCAGTCTTAAGGAGGATTTGGTTTTTCTTTTGAATTCCCCCTAGATCTTTTATCTTGATTGGAATACGCCTTCTGAGTTTTGGGGGATTCTTGTTGTGGTTGTCTTGTATCCCTACATATGAGCTTTCTATATATTAAAAAATTCATGTTTATGCTTGAGCTTTGAGCCTTTTGGATCACTACAAGAGGTCAAAAATAGTTTTGCAATTCTAGTCACTCAGATTCTTGCCTTTTCTCCTCCGATCTCTCAAGTATTTATTATTTCCAAACAAACTTCAGCTACAGCATGCTGTGAACATAATAGTAGCAACACTACCACCACCAGTTCAAAAAAACACAAGCATTTGATTTTCTTTGATTTTCAATACACTTCACAAAATATTTCTGCATAACATACCTGCTTATAAACTAATCAAATTAATGTTTTGTTTTCTTGACAGAATTATCCAGTATGGAGAAATCAAAATATTAGTAACTCATCACTAATTCAAAAAAACGAGTTAGTATTTGATAGGTTGAATAATCAAAAAAATTCACAGTTTACACCCTAACCTTCTCAGAGCCATTGAACATAGAAATTTTTTAAATAGCCATTAGCCAAGTCACATAAACTCGGAAAATGTTTTCAAGCTCCTGCAAGAAGGCTAGCCTAGGAATATGATACCAAGTTCATAAATGAAGATAGAAGAAATTACTTGCCGGTCACAATATGTAAAGTCATGACATCCAGAGAAACCACCGATATTACATGATTGGAAAGACCAATAGGGAAAGTCAAATTCACCTCAATTAGCCGGCCTTTCCAATATAAGAATACCCCACCGTTCATTCGTTCCCACTCTACCTGACTCCTTCCAAATACGAGTTGAATGGGTCTAGCCAGTATGCTGCCATTTAATGTAACAGTTCTACTCAGTGATTTTTCTAAAGGATGGCTTTTGACCTGCAAAAAAAATATTAAATAAATATATATTTGCATGAAACAATAATCAAAACTATGGTAAACCAAGAAGTTGAAGGGGAGAGAAAGATTGAGTGAGTGAGTCAAGCTTCATAAGAAACGAGACAAATTACCAATGAGCCTTGGACAAATATTTTCATGCGAGGATTTAAGAAAAGAACTTCTAGATAAGCCTGAAGGGAATAATCCAATGGAACCTGTATTCGCAAGAGAAGAATTAAAAAACAAGTACAATCTTCGTTAATACCTTAAAACAGTGAGAACAATTAACAATTAGGTTAGACAACCACAAAGAGCCAAAAGAAAAATAAAATAAGAAGATATAGTGCCTAACAGCCAACAATAACATCAAGCCTTTATCTCACTACATGGGGTTGTTTACATGAATCTTTTTCTTCATTGTGTCATGTTAAGAGTCCAATTCTCATTTAAATCTAATAAAGAAAAGTCATTTTTAATATTTTCTAACCAAATCTTTTTATTTCTACCTCTACCTTTCTTAACATGAGCCAAAATCTAATACATCTACTTTCCTGAGTTTTCCTTAGCCAAGTCTAAAGTATGTCAATTGCCTAAGGAAAACACAATTCTACTATCAATAGTAAGAACGAATAAAACAGGGCATCACAGCAAGGACCATTTGAAAGCATGGAATAGCACAACCACCACCTCACAACTTATTTGACCAAAGCGCGATCTTATTCTCCTTGAACGAATGAGTATGTCTCCCTGTCCTTTGTTATAACTTTCACCACCCTTTCCATCATTCCATTCCAAAGTATAGTCTGAACCCCACTTATCTAAGTTCCAAATGAAGATCTGTGAGCCAGTTCCATCTTTGCCAAATAATCCAAGCTGCTCTCCTAGCAAGTATTCGTTAAATGGAGAAAATTCCTTGATGGCACTCAGATTGAAGTTTGCAAATTCTTTTGATTGGATGCTCAGATCAATGTCCATATAACGCCCATTTTTAACATAAGAAACTATAGGAATCTCTATGTTCTGCACCAAACAACAAACGTAACTAATAATAAGAAAGTTTCAAGTATGAGGCAATAGAGTACAGTAGAAAAATGGGCAAGTGACATACATCTTTGTTTTCATTGTATGTCTGTGATAAAAATGCAATAGATCTGGATCTTGATGACTGCGTAAGTACAAGAGCATCCCTTCCAAGTTTCATAGACCCAGTCTACAAAGTAAATATTCCAAACTCACTCTAAGGAAAGAAAAAAATTACAAAAGACAAATTAAGAAACAGAACATTAACTGCTGCAGCACCAAAGAGAAAATATTTTCTTGTCACAGAAAACAGTACTGAAACAGAAAAAAAAAGTATGAATACAAATAAAGGAATGGCAAAGGAAAAGAAGCTAACAGAAAAAAAAAATAGAGAGAGAGTGAGAGAGAGAGAGAGAGAGAGAGAGAAATACTTCATAATTCTCAAAGTAATTAAAAACTCAAGCAGAAATGCTAAAATAAATTTAAGGCGAGATAAGCTATGAAGCAATGACACTTCAAATGTCCTTTGTGTTCATGTCGAAAATATGTCAAAAACAGATAAGCTTCCGACATGCCCCAATGCATCTGACAAGCTTAAATTCATGTAAGATATTATTTTTGTCAAAATAATAGTCCAACCATGAAGCAAGACCGATAAGGAACATGTTTTAAGCATTTTGCCATTAGGATTTTTATGGTGCAGTTCAATAATACGTTGGTCCAGTTTGGTATTAGTTAAAACCCCATTACGACTCCCATAAGTTTCCATTGGCTTGGATTCCTTCTCGCTCTCAGTTGTTCGCGCAAACCCTAATTCACCTATCACCATGGTTGCATGCAATCTTCTTCCATGTCGTCGAGCTCTCATGCGCTACTCCTCTACACAGCCTTCTCCACCAAAGCTGTTACAGTGTTAGTCCTCTAACATTTCTCACTCCATCAAAACTCGCCATCTCCATTGTGATGCTTGCACAAATATTTTCTTCAACTCCATATCACTTTCTTCCCTGCTAAGGTATGATTTTAAATTTCCTCCCTTAACCCTAATGTCAAACCTATGGTTCTTTCTTAGCTTTTTACTATTCTTTACTTCTCAAAGTAGATATTCTTTTATTTTTAATCTGCATCAAATCATTACATTTTAGCTTTTCTCAAAAATATAATTTTGACGTTTCTTTTCATTAGCACATTTTATATTAATAATTTATTTAAAAATAATATAGTTGATGCAACATGTCATGTCCCGTGCCATGTCGTCGCATCTGTCTTGAGTTGGTGGCTGATCATAGAAAATTGGATTAAATCATTGTACAACAGAGGCTTTATTTCTATCATGTAAAGAACAATAAACTTGTGCTTGATAAATTATATAACAAGTGAACAAAAGTAGCAATAATAAAATTTTAATTTTAATTTAAATTTTCATAGTGTTTTAAAAATTTGTAATATATACTATTAATTATCATGTCATTTTTTATAGTTATGTCATGTTGTTGTATATGTCTTGAATCGGTGGAACTGCTTCATAGGGTACATGTTTGGTCATAGAAAAATGGATTAAATCATTGACTTAAGAGGCTTTATTCCTATCAAATAAATGGTAAAAAACTTGTGCTTCTAAATTATATAAAATGTCCCCAAATATTCCCAAAAAAAAAATTATATAAAATGTGAAAAAGTGTGACAGTAATAAAGTTTTAAATTAAAATAAAAACTTATTAATTTATTATCAATTTGTAATACATATAACTAATTCACCTTAAATCCAATGCCAAATTTACCAATGCGATCTTGATCTTCTCCGGTTGTTTGCTTATGTCCAAATGACACCATTCTCAAAATGTCATTATGTGTCATTCCATCCCCATCATCAATAATTGATAAAACAGGAATTTTGTTTCCATCCTTTTTGGAATATAGAAGCTCAACAGAAATGTCCAATCTACAAACAAACATAATAACAGCACATTAATCAACCAAATAAATCATTTATGCTCGTGTGGAATACAAACTATACACTTGACAATTTAGCATTAATGAAAATCTTTTGTCATAACAATTTATTTGAACTATAAAGGAACTGGAACTATAAACTTGAAAATCATGTTACAGTAATTTAAAGCAAAATATGCAAGTTCCAGCTCATACACAGTTTTATTTGTTGTCACGTATAGTGAACAGTGAACTGTTCCCTACCTGGTCAACTATTATAAGCATTCAAACAAGGAACTCAAACTCCACTTGCGTGATGATGTTAATTTGTGTTGAAAATAAAATAAAATAACAAAACAAATAATCTAAACACCCAAAAAAAACATTTTTAAAAACTAAAAGTATAAAAGAAATAATAATTCAGAAAATACTTGATCTAAACAATAGGAATTTCTCAATTTTCGGAGTGTTATTCAAAAAACAGCAGAGGCCTTGATAAATTTAAGAAAGCTGAAAGTAATTAGAAAAGTAAACTAAGTGCAACAAAACCACCAAGTTCTAATGACATAAGCATCTTTATAGATATCAAATTAGTGTGCATCGAAATAGGAGGTGACACTTGGCTCATTATATGGCTACCAGGTAGCACAATTTGAATTTCAATTCAAATACATTTAAAAGCTAATTATCACAAAATGCTTATAAATATTTTTAAATTTCAATATGACACATAAGGCAATTTTAATTTTGGACTTCTCAATTCAAACACATAAAAAACTAATTATCACATCAGAGACTACTATTTTGAAATTAAATAGGATACATAATGCAAGTTTAAATTTGAAATAACTTATTTTAATTATTATTTAAATATTATATCATAAATGTCGTCGTTTTAAAATTTAAGTTCAATTTCAAACAAATAACCATTTTATTTTACATTAAATCATGTAATGTTGACTTTAAATTTTAATTAGAATAGATTTATATTTACTTTGATAAATCTTTAATCATTTTAACTCAAGCTGAGTCCTTACAATACAACTAGCATTTTTGTTTTATTTTTATTATTTTTCTCATCCCTCAGTAGGATTAGTATCTAATTTTCATATTAAACTGAGACTGAATTGCATTCATTACTCCTGAATGGCTTATAAAAGAATGAAAGTCCTGTAGAAAATCATTTTTACAAAGTGAAGGTTAAAACAGATAAATAAGTCCAAGCAAATTGGAATGAGTAATTTCTCAATTATCCAGGTATTCTTCAGAAGCAACTGATTTGAGACTTTAATCTACAAAAAATAAAGCTTTGCTTCACAAACCCGTATGAATGTCACGTGAAAACATTTTTCATCCCATGTGGCAGCCAATGCTTAAAACTTCAGAATAAATAAAACCAGCTAATTTCATCCTCTGTAATGTCATAATGCATCTAGTTTAACAAACTTGGAAGCCAAGTTTTCAAACATCAAAGCAAATCAGCAGATACAAAACAAGTGATGGTTACCTTAAGGACTGTAAATGACCATAATATAAGATGATCAAAAAATTATCTTTAAAAAATTAATTACTGAAAGAAATGTTGATTCAATGAAGAGCATAAGTCCCACAATCAACCATGAATTGCTACAGAAAGGACTGGAAGAGCTTTTATAGTCGGCAGCCATGATTTCAACTACAAAATGTCGTAGCATTGGAAGCGGCCTTAATTATAGCATATATTGTCTTTTTCATACTGCTTGCAAAAGCTAAGAAAACTTTGTTCGATTATATTGTTTCACTTCCAAAAAATACATTTTAAATCATCCTAGGTAAAATTACTAATTCCAGAAAAAGCAACAACAACAACAACAACATCAAGCCTTTGTCCCACTACGTGGGGTCGGCTACATGAATCCTATTCATTATTGTGCCTATTAAAAGTCAAATTCTCATTTAAATCTAATAAAGAAAGATCATTTCTAATATTTTCTAACCAATTCTTTTTAGGTCTACCTCTACCCAAAAAAGAGCAAAAAAATAAAAATCAGAATGGAATCAAATTATAGGAATCATAAACATCACCCCCCATTAGGTATGCGTTCTATCAAAGCTTTAAGCAAGAAAGGCAAGGAAAAATACAAAGAAGATATCATGTCATGAGCAGGCAATGAAAAGAAAAGTTAAGCTATAGAATAACATAGCAATTCTATTAACCTAGGAGTGGAACATAAATTATAATTTCATGATACTGAAAGAGTTGAATCCCTATATACAACTCTCAGTCTTAACTTAAAGCCATCTAATGATATATCATGTTATTATACCTAGTTGCGTGGGCATCTCTTGAGTTATCAATAAGTTCAGCTATCGCCCCAAAAATCCAAGCCGAATGAGTCTGACTGAGCGTTGTCAAGTAACTTGGATCCATCTTCACAAAATTCTTTTGCCGAAAATTGGATTGTATCACATCAGCTTGATCAGATTTACAGGCATTGTCAGGAGTACCATCTCCAATACAGTTTCTTGAGTTCTCTGGATCCACAACTATATCTTCCAATGAAGATATTGAGCTGGGACTTCGACAAGTAAATGCTTGTTTATTTTGCAGGGTTCTTTCACTTCTACAAGACTCCTGATTTGAAGTATGGGAATAAATAGAACATCTGGGATGACGATGGACTGCATCTAGAAAATGTCAACAGCAGACACCAAAATTCATAGAATGAATAGAGCAGTTGAATATCCAAGGCAAAATCAGATATAAGAATAAGATAGGCCAAACAAAAACCAGTTAGTTGTTGTTTGGTTCACTAACATCTCAATGTAATGTCATGCTATTAAAGGGTTGCTGGAAGAAATAGGAGTGTATTGCATTCCATTTACCTGTTTTTTAACTTTCTTGGTGATTGATTTGAAACAAAAGAAATATAAAGTAAAACGTTGAATAATTAAAAAATACCCTAAAATCTTTATTTTCTCTGCATTTGGGAATTGCCTAAATCAGGGGATTTTTCAATCTTGTGCACAACACCAATCCTCGGTGCGCTCACATCGTTCTCACATGTCTGCCATTGTCACTACGCGCTATTAATAGATATATCCGTTGAGGGCAT